AGCTCGCCCTGGGGCCACCTCCGTGCCTCCCGCCCTGGTGTTGCGGTGACATCGGGCAGTGCCACGGCTGGGCCCGTGATGGGCTCTGCCCAGCACCCTGCCATGTGCCATGACTCACCCTCTTGGAGGAGATGGTCATCGTCTTGATGGGTGCTGGCACCTAGACGGGGGCAGGAGCGAAGGAGACGGAGGGGTGAGCGCCTGGCCTGATGCTGCAGCCCCAGGGTGGGCACCCCAGACCCCCCCAGGCGGCTGGGGCGGGCAGGGGCAGGCAGGGGGAGCTGTGAGGGGGCAGCAGGCAGGAGGACCAATGCTTGGGGTCCCTCCAGAGCCGGCCAAGGGGCTGGCTGGTGTCCCAAGGGGCTAGTTGATGTCCTGATAGGTGGCTCGTGTCCCAAGGGACTGGTTGACGTCCCAAGGAGGTGGCTGGTGTCCCAAGGGGTTGGTTGGTGTCCCAAGGGCCTTGCTGGCTGGGTCAAGGACACTCAGCAGAGGATGGAGGACAGGAGAGGCCTTACCTTGAACACCTCGATCTCCTCCAGCATGAGCTCCTCTGTCTCCATGTCATCCCGGGGGAGCACGATGACCTTCTGCACGGTGCCCCGATCTGCAAGACACCATGGTGCCCGGATGCTCAGTGTCACCTCTGGGCACCTGTGCCCTCCCCTCCTGGGAAGGGGGTCCCTGCTGGGGCTGGGAGGAGGAAGGACCCCCCCAAGCCCATCCCCATCTCTCTCCTGCCGCAGTGGGCGGCCGTGCCTGGGGTGCGGTGTACTGGCTCAGGTCACCACCCGTGGCTAGGGACTGCCACCACCCAGGGCCGGGGGGGGACAGCCGCTGGGGGCCAGGATGGATCATGGGGGCTGTAGGATGCGCGTTAGAGCAGGGGAAGCGCCAGCCTGGGCAACAGTGCCCCCAGGATGGGCACTGGGGCTGGGGAAGGACAGGGCAGGATGCTGGTGCCTCTAGGATGGGCAATCGGGCAGGGGAAGCTCGAGGCTGGATGATGGTGGGCTTAGGATGGGCAATGGGAAGCATGAGGCTGGATCGCAGAGCCCATAGGATGGGTGCCAGGATCGGGAAAGGATGAGGCTGGATGGTGGGGCCCCTGGGGTGGGAGGTATCATGCTGGATCGCTGGCTCCGGGGATGGGAACTGGGCTAAGGGAAGGACCAGGGTGGATGGTGGGGTTCGTGGCATGGGCACCGGGGCAAGGGAAGGACGAGGCTGGAGCCTTGAGGAGGGGCAGGGATCTCAGGGGGGGTCTCAGCCCCTTGCCCCGCTCCAGTGTGGCAGAGGGCACCGTGCTCTGGCCAGCCCTGGTGGTGCCCGTGCCCTCCGGGGCCGCGCCGGAGCATGCTGCGTTCCCCGCGGTGCGCGGCGTGGGTACCTGTGCCCAGGAAAAGCACCTCATAGCGCCCGTCTGCGGCGTCCACCTGGTCGACGGCCACGGTGGTGAAGCGGTAGTTGACGTTGGTGCGGACCACCAGTGGCTGGCGGTGGGTGGGGTAGACGGCGTGGTACATCAGCGGGTGTGCGCGCATGAAGTTGATCACTTCATCGGGGTAGTCCTTGGTCGACTTCATGGACGGGGTGAAGGTCCCCCCGGGGCACTGCAGCACAAATGTCACCAGCACTTGGTGACCCGGTGTCCGGGCACAGGTCCATGCGTGCCAGCTGCCTGGCAGGCACTCACCCCCCCCCCCGCCGCATGCCCTGGGGGTACTTACAGTGCCCGGCCGGGGGGAGGGCCTTTTGACCG